AGACCCTTCTTCAGAAGAAGGGTCTAGGCCCGAAACGTCAGCCTTCCTGCTCCTCTGACGCTGCTTGGCCTTCTTCACCACCCTGTCTACTCGGATGTCACTTTCAAAAACTATGTACCTGCACCCCTAGGTCTCTCTGTTCAACAACAATCCCCAGGGCCCTACCATTAACTGTGTAAGTCCCACCCTGGTTTGTCGCACCAAAATGCAACACCTCACATTTATCCAACGCATGTCTACAGCACCTCAAACATTCTTAATCATACCTTTAATGTAGCCAATCTAGTAAAGTCTATATGAGGTAATACTATTTCAGTATGAAGCCTTTTGTACTTTGGACTCAGCAAATTCTTCCATTTATTCTTGAAATTTGACTAGTGAATATCCAAGTCCTTCATAATTCTCTGCTACGAGATGTTTTTAAAGCACATTTCCTGAGAGCCAAGTGTGGTTTGTTTAGAACTGATGTCTAGCTCAGCAGGATATTGTTTGAAAAGTTGGACTTCAAGAACAGCATAGAGAATTGGCTGATGGACAGGGAACGGTGTGAGGGGATAAGGGGGTCTTTTTCAGGTTGGCAACCCATGACCAGTGGGGTTCCACAGGGTTCATTACTGGGGCTGCAACTGTTTACATAATATATTCATGACTTAGAAGAAGGAAGTGAATGTACTGTACAACTTTGCAGACGACCCAAAAATAGGAGGAAAAGCAGGTTGTGAGAGGGATACAAACAATTAACAGAAAGGTAGTGGTAGAATAAATACGTGGGGAAAGAAGTCAGTAAATGGAGTATAGTGTGGGAAAATGCGAGTTTGTTCATTTTGGTAGCAAGAACAAAAGAGCAAAATATTACTTAAATAGAGAGAAACTGTATAAAGGTGCGATCCAAAGGGGTTAGGGGGCACTTGTGTAAGAAACTCAGAAAGCTAGCACACAGGTGCAGCAGGTAATAGGGAAGGCTAATGGAATGTTGGCCCTTTTTTTTTAAAAGCGAGTTGGAGTGTAGGAATAGGGAAATCGGACTGCAACTGCACAAGGGTCTGGAATGCACTGTCTGGAAATGTGAGGAAGGCAGTGTTGAATTGAGGCATTCAAGAGGGCACCAAATGATTATTTAAAAAGAACAACGCGCAGGGTGGCAGAAAAACGACACAAAGTCAAAATGCACATTCAGAGGGCTGATGCAAACTCGATGGGCTGAATGGCCTCTTCTGCACAGTGGCAATTCTGTGATTCTGTCCGTGATTAAATCCATAAATAAGCCTTGAGCAGTACAGTGAGAATTTGCCAAGTCAGAGTTCCAGCAGGAAGCTTACTCAATATATGTGTTTTAAGGTTAGGATAACCCGGTTAGATTAAGTCATGGTGTGTTGCTAGGAATGTAGAATATTTAGGAATTGAATTGGTTAAGCGCTATTAGAGTCTACTGTACCCATGCAAGAGTGAAGCCTTGCATAGAGATTCTTTGTTCTTAATTTCCTTCCCAAAAGAATGAGTTGGAAATCTTGCAAAACAACCTCGAAGTCTTTATTGCTTAATTTTTTTGATGAGCTCGTTTCAAATACACACTGGCATATTCTGTTACTTCAAGTGCCTAATCGCCAAAACCAGTGAGAGATCACTGTACTGGAGCTTTGTAACATGAGCATAATAGTTGTCATTTTATCATGTGACACGGGTGCACATGGAAATCCAACCCAAAAATTAATAAATAGGTCCATTGTTTGCATTGGGCACGTCATCTCAGATTGTCTTATGAACAAAAACACACTTCAGCTCACAGGAATTGCAACACTGCTGCTGAGGCTGCAATTTATTTGTTGGAGGGCCACAGTAACATAGAATTCCTACAGTCTGGAGGCCAGCCATTTAGCCCATCGAGTCCACACCAACCCTTCCACCCAGACCCGGTCCCTTACCCCATCCCTGTAACTCTGCATTTCCCATGGTTAATCCATCTAACCTGCACATCTTTGGACCATGGGATGAAACCAGAGCACATAGAGAAAATCCACGTATAAACAGAGAAACCATGTAAACTCCGCACACAAGTCACCCGAGGGTGGAATCCAACCTGGATCCCTGGCACTGAAAGGCAGCAGTGCTAACCACTGAGCCACCACCTGAGCTGCTATTTGGGTGTATTTAATTAGGTATTTAGGCCATACGCCAGATTAGTGCAGCAGGAAGAAATAAAGGTTTTAGCATTCTCCATTTATGCAAACAGTCAAAATTTCCATTTTCGTAAATTCCCGATGTTATCCGGTTACCCTATAACATATTGCTTCAACTCCCCATCGGGATCACAACTGATATATAAAGTTAACAAAGTGTGATTGCACTGGAGTGGGTGTGAAGGAGATTCATCAGGATGTTGCGGCTACGATGAGAGGCTGGATAAGCTCAGGTCATTTTCTTTGGAGCAGAGAAAGTTGGGAAGGGACCTGATTGAGGTGTGTAAGATTATGTGGGGCAAGGACAGGGTAATTATAAAGCTGTTCCCCATAGTCGAAGGTTCAATAACAAGGGGGCATAATTTTAAAGTGAAAGGCAGAAGATTTAGAGGGGATTGGAGGAAAACCTTTTTAACCAAGAAGGTGGCGGAGGAGGTCTGGAATTCACTACCTGGGAGGGTAGTTGAGGTGGGAAACCTCACAACTTTTACCAAGTACTGGATGAGCACATGATATATTATAACGTTCAAGTGCAGGTAAGTGGGACTAGTATAGGTCATTTATTTTTGGCAGTACAGAGTTGATGGGGCTTTTCTGTACCGTCTGATTCTATAGTCTCAGAGGACCATAGGGCTGCTCACGCATTAGACAGAGAGAGAGAGAGAGAGAGAGAGAGAGAGAAAGAGAAACAGAGAGCGCGAGACAGCGCGAGAGAGGAGAGAGAGACAGACAGCGAGCGAGAGCGCAAGAGAGAGGGAGGGAGGACTGGTGGTGGTTTAGTCTGAGGGTCACCCTACCTCAGACGAGGTTGAGGAGGAGAGACCTTCATGGAACCTCAGCTGATGCAATTAGCTCAGTTAACTAGATAACTTGAGCACAGTGCAGAGTAAAGCACACAGTTCAACCTGTATGTCAACCGTGATAGTTTGTAGAAATCCTGCCTGTCCACCTTATCCCCTCATCTTGCTGAGTAATTCGCCCTCAAGCTGTACATAACCAATTCTCTCTCTCTTCGACGGAGAGAGATGCCCAAGGTTCTTTGTGAACTCTTTATAACTATATTATTATGTGAAACTGATGCTCACTTGTAACAGTAGCTGGCGTCATGGGTATTGTATTGGCAAAGGTTCCCATCATCAGGAGGAGTAGCAGAGAAGAAGATTGTCGGCGAAAGGTTGTAACGTCCGTTTCGGCAATGCTCGTCAATTTCTCTGGGAATTCCCGGCTCAATGGCGACCCTATCACCTGCAGCAGAGCAAACACCTGGACACTCAGTACTCTGTCTTTTACTGGAGCAAACATCAATGCAAGAGTAAACCAATGGTTGTTTTCTTTCAACAGGTCACCTTTATACTGGCACCATGGTGGTACGAAACGTGTGTTTGCCTTCACTGGATGTGAAATATAGAGAAAGGAGACCCAACCAGCTTTGGGCGGCACGGTGGCTCAGTGGTTAGCACTGCTGCCTCACAGCGCCAGGGACCCAGGTTCGATTCCACCCTCGGGCGACTGTCTGTGTGGAGTTTGCACATTCTCCCTGTGTCTGAGTGCGTTTCCTCCAGGTGCTCCAGTTTCCTCCCACAGTCCAAAGATGTGCAGGCTAGGTGGATCGGCCATGGGAAATCGCCCGTAGTGTTCAGGGATGTGTAGCTTAGGTGTGTTATAAGGGGATGGGTGTTGGTGGGATGCTGCAAGGGTCGGTGTGGACTTGTTGGGCCAAAGGGCCTGTTTCCACACTGTAGGGATTCTATGTAATTCTATGAATGTAAATATGAATTTGGAAGAGAAGATGAAGGATTAGCCATACAGGAAAACGTAAAAAATGATGAAGAGTCACTGGACTCGAAGCGTTGAATCTACTTCTCTGTCCACAGATGCTGCCACACCTGCTGAGTTTCTCCAGCACTTTCTGTTTGTGTTATATGTGTTGGGAGTGTTGTGTGGAGGGAACTGTTGTATTAGGTATTGGTTCTGAGGTTTAGTGTTAATGTTACATTAGCTGCACCCATTTTACTGATGACCTACAGTCTTTGGGTGAAGGTAAGGAGTTCTACTCTAGATTTTAGAGGGAGCAGATCAATCTATACCAGATCTCTATGGTTTTAGTAATTATGTTTAACCAACTGTAGTTGTACTTTTTACTACTGTGAAATAAACCTGGTTATCTAAAAATAGTGCCCTCTTTGGTAGATATTCTACAGTGGTGTATCATTTACTAATAATGACTGGATGGGTGCAAACACAAAGGAGGTTTAGCGGCAGTGAACTATCTCAAATAACACTTACCCAGTCCTACATACTGGCAGGGGGAGGCAAATACCACAAGGAGTGGTCACCTGGGGAAATACTGCAGGAGTGAACAAAGAAATGTGCTGACCGTTATTACTGGCAGACAAAGAGATTGGGTTGGGAACATCAGTGAGAAAGTGGAAAAGACAGGAAGAAAATTCCAGTGTTGGGTAACTTGAAAATTGTAGTAAGTTATTGGCAAATTAAAAGAATGGCAGAAGATAGAGAGAGTATGAGAGAGAGAGAGACAGAGATTGTGTGTGTTTGAGAGAGAGAGAGAGAGAAAGAGAGAGAGTGTGTGAGAGAGAGAGAGAGAGAGAGAGTGTGAGAGAGATAGAGAGAGAGAGTGTGTGAGAGAGAAAGAGAGAGAGAGAGAGTGTGT